GAAGATAAAGTGTCCAAATTTGAGAGATTAATGCAATTCGCTAAACCAGAACCTAAGCCTGATGCACCTTCTTCACCAATTTTATTATCACTTTTTAAATATTGAAGAAAAAATATATGATTAAATAGTTTATTAGAAGGAAAAAATGAGGAAAAAATATGAAATAATAAGAAATAAATAATAAAAGCAAAAGTTGAAAATAAAATGATTAGCTAAATTAACAAAGAAAGAACAAAAAAAGCAAGCACAATAAAAAGAAAAAGAAAAAATAGCTTTATTGTTATTAATTAGTTTTTATAATTAAAAATATCACAATCCAAAACAAATAAACTGTTTTTACTAAAGGTTAAGTGTCAAATTTGAGAGATTAATGCAATTTGCTAAACCAAAACCTAAGCCTGATGCACCTTCATCACCAATTTAATTGTGACTTTTTAAATATTGAAGAAAAAATATATCATTAAATAGTTAATTAGAAGGAAAAAATGAAGAAAAGATATGAAATAATAAGATTAATTAATTAATAATAAAAGCAAAAGTAGAAAATAAAATGATGAGCTAAATTAACAAAGAAAGAACAAAAAAAAAACAAGAACAATAAAAAGAAAAAGAAAAAAGAGCTTTATTGTTTTTAATTAGTTTTTATAATTAAAACTATCACAATCCAAAACAAATAAACTGTTTTTACTTAAGGTTAAGTGTCAAATTTGAGAGATTAATGCAATTTGCTAAACCAGAACCTAAGCCTGATGCACCCATTGCACCAATTTAATTTTCACTTTTTAAATATTGAAGAAAAAATATATGATTAAATAGTTTATTAGAAGGAAAAAATGAGGAAAAAATATGAAATAATAAGATTAATTAGTAATAAAAGCAAAAGTTGGAAATAAAATGATGAGCTAAATTAACAAAGAAAGGACAAAAAAAAGCAAGCACAATAAAAAGAAAAAGAAAAAAGAGCTTTATTGTTTTTAATTAGTTTTTATAATTAAAAATATCACAATCCAAAACAAATAAACTCTTTTTACGAAAGGTCAAGTGTTAAATTTGAGAGATTAATGCAATTTGCTAAACCAGAACCTAAGCCTGATACACCTTCATTACCAATTCTAAGAAGGGCTAAGCGACTCGAGTGGGCGAGTCGGAGGGTCTTAGCAGTGATATCGGGGGTTCGAATCCTATACCGCCCCCTTTATTTCGAAAAATTCCATGTAAAAATGTGAATGTTACCAGCGGTCTCCTTGGTAGGAGGGAAGGGCCAAATCTGATAGGTGGTAAAGAGGAGGCCCCATTCTGAACAGAAGATCTGGAATACAAATGGGAAGCGAGCATAATGCGTAGTCAAATCATGGAAGATTAGTAGAAATGCCATTAGGGTGTAGGTGACCCTTCCCTTCTAATATATTACCCACAATTATATATAAATAAATTGGTATACGTATAATAATAATGTATAAGTAATTATATATAGGGCCCCTATCCCGAGTGCATGTCACCATGTGCGAGTATGTATGTATGTATTACCAATTCTATTCAAAATTTTTAAATATTGAACAAAAAATATATCATTAAATAGAGTAAGTTACCATACAAATTTACAAAAAGCGAGTTTTATATACCAGTTTTTATATTTTATAAAATTAAAATTTTAAATATTTTTTATGAATTTTTTTCCATCCTAGGTTTTAAAAATTTATTTTTTCAAAAAAAAAGATATTTTATGCTTTCTAAAAATTATCTTTATTAATAATTTTATTAAGATATAAATTAAATAGGTATTTCACTCTTGTTAATTTGGAGGAATAAATGAAGAAAAAATATGATGAGATTAATTAAAAATTAATAAAATTAACAAAGAATGAAAAAATAAGAAATCATAATAAAAAGAATAAAGAAAACAAATCGAATAAATTAAAAGAACTATAATGTTTTAAATTAACTTTTATAATTAAAAATTTTACAATGTAAAAAAATAAATAGCTTATATTAAGTGTAAGTTTTAATAGCATAAAATGAAGAAAAAATATCAAATAATAAAAAATGAATAATAAATAATTAAAAATTAAAATGAAAATTAAGTTAAAATAGCTAAAAAATTTTAGTTTTAACAAAAATCAATAAGTAATGATGATAATTTCTTTTATAAAAATTATTTATTTATTTAAATAAATTGAAAATTAAATATACAAAAATATTAATAATAATAAAAATAATATTTTTTAATTAAATATACTAAAGATCAATATGGAGAACCTAATGAGATAAAAGTGAAGAGCTTTTAAACTTTTTTTTTTAATTTATATAAATTTAAAGGATATTAATAAAAAAATTAATAATTACTTCTTCCAGATTATAATACTTTTTAATCTATTATATCATTTATTTTTTTTTTTCAAAAATATTGAATAGCAATTTATGAAATTTAATTAATTAATTATAAATGGATAAAAAGAACAAATAAATATAATAATTAATTTATATATTTAGTTCTATGAAGAGATATCACATCAAATTAATTTAACATTCACTATTTAAACTTAATATTTGTATTTAAAACATATACTTAAAAATATATTTAGTAGGAATTAGACATGGCCAGTTATTTATTTAGTCATATTTGAAAAAAACCTTGTAGTTAATGTTCTTAAATATTATAAAAATAATTTTTATAAGTAGATTTTTCTGTTTTAGCTCTCTAATTTTGGAATTTTTATAATATCTCTAATTATAGCCAGAAGCAATACAAAAATTTCATGACATATTATCAAATGTATTTTTTTATTTCTTTATTTATTAAAAAATCTGATTTATATATACTGTAAATGCTCATTAATTAAGGCATTCCCTAATTATCTTTTTTACCCAAAAAAAAGTGCCTTAAAAAGCTAATTTTGCTCTTTAAGAATATGTAAAAAATGATATGTTATAAGAATATACGGTAAATACTATTTTAAATTTTGTATTTTGTGAATTTAAAGCTTTCTAAAAACTCAAAAATAAAGCTATTTAAAGCTAATTAAGCTTTATTAATTATGTTATTAAGATATATTACATTTAGCTTTTTCTAAATTAAATAGGCATTTTACTCTAGTTAATTAAGTTAATTAGAAGGAAAAATTGAAGGAAAAATATGAAATAATAAGATTAATTAATAATAAAATTAACAAAGGATGAAAATAAAAAGAAAAAGGAAAATAAATCAAATAAATTAAAAGAGCTTTAATGTTTTAAATTAACTTAAATAATTAAAAATATTACAATCCAAAACTAATAAACTGCTTTTATTAAGGAGAAGTTTTAATAGCAAAAAAATAAAATTTCAAATAATAAATAAATAAATAATTAAAAATTGAATTGAAAATTAAGTTAAAATAGCTAAAAAATTTTTGTTTTAATAAAATCAATAAATAATGATGAGAATTTCTATAACAAAAATTATTTATTTAAATAAATTGAAAGAAAGTTAAATACATAAAAAATATTAATAATAATAAAAAAAATATTTATAAATATAATATACTTAAGATCAATATGGAGAACCTCATGAGATGATAAAAGTGAAGAGCTTAAAAACTTTTTTTATTAATTTAAATATATTTAAAGGATATTAATAAAAAAATTAATAATTACTTCTTCTATTCTATAATATTTTTTAATCTATTATATCATTTATTTTTTTTTCAAAAATATTGAATAGCAAACAATTTATGGAATTTAATTAATTAATTAATAATAGATGGATAAAAAGAACAAATAAAATAAATAATTAATTATCAAATATTAATTTATAAATTTGGTTTTATGAAGAGATATAATAAAAATTAATTTAACATTTATTATTTAATCTTAATATTTGTATTTAAAATATATACATAAAAATATAGTAGGAATTAGAGATAAATAGTTAGTTAGTAATATTTGGAAGAATTCTAATAATTAATTAATTGATGTTCTTAAATTTTATAAAAATAATGTTTATAAGTAGATTTTTCTATTTTAGGTCTTTATTTAATTATAGGAATATTTATAATATCTCTTATTCTCTAGTCACATTATTTTTCTTTTATGCAAGCACATTTTATTAAGGTAGAAAGATTGCTTCCACCAAATAAGTGCATTTAATACCAACTTAAATAACTTTTTAATAAATAGATTTACTCTAAATAATATTTTCATTAAAAATAAATAGAGGGACTAATTAATTTTGAAGCACTAAAAGGTATATATATTATTTATTACATTTTCAATAAAAACAAGAATAAAATCTATTTTTAGGTAAAAAAACTTTTTAAAAATATTAAAAAATAAAACATATAATTAATATTCAATTATTCTAACATTTATATAATATTTATTCATCCTTTTTTACCAATTGATTATCATCAAAAAATTTTTTTAAAGACAACTAATCTTTTTGATTTAAGACACTTGCTTATTCCTTTGAATTTTTATGATTTTTTCATTTTGTTATCACTTTTTTAATAAATTTGTGTAAATTTTAATTAAATGTTAAATTAAATAAAATTATAAATTAAAAATTATTTCTTATAATAAATAAATAAAATAAAGTTAGTGGAATAAAAAAGATAAAAAAATAAATCAAATAAAAGCTATCAAATCATTTCAAGGAGCTTTATTGTTTTAAATTAGTTTTTATAATTAAAAATATCACAATCCAAAACAAATAAACTGTTTTTACTGAAGATAAAGTGTCAAATTTGAGAGATTAATGCACTTTGCTAAACCAGATCCTAAGTCTGATGCACCTTTGCCACCAATTTAATTGGAACTTTTTAAATATTGAAGAAAAAATATATGATTAAATATTTAATTAGAAGGAAAAAATGAAGAAAAAATATGAAATAATAAAATTAATTAATATTAAAAGTAAAAGTTGAAATTAAAATGATGAGTTAAATTAACAAAGAAAGAACAAAAAAAAGCAAGCACATTAAAATGAAATAGAAAATGAAAAAGAATAGTTTTTATAATTAAAAATATCACAATCCAAAACAAATAAACTGTTTTTACTAAAGATAAAGTGTCAAATTTGAGAGATTAATGCACTTTGCTAAACCAGAACCTAAGCCTGATGCACCTTCGTCACCAATTTTATTGTGACTTTTTAAATATTGAAGAAAAAATATATGATTAAATATTTAATTAGAAGGAAAAAATGAAGAAAAAATATGAAATAACAAAATTAATAAATATTAAAAGTAAAAGTTTAAAATAAAATAATGAGTTAAATTAACAAAGAAAGAACAAAAAAAAGCAAAAAAAAGCAAGCACATTTAAAAGAAATAGAAAAAGAAAAAGAATAGTTTTTATAATTAAAAATATCACAATCCAAAACAAATAAACTGTTTTTACTGAAGATAAAGTGTCAAATTTGAGAGATTAATGCACTTTGCTAAATCAGAACCTAAGCCTGATGCACCTTCGTCACCAATTTTATTGTGACTTTTTAAATATTGAAGAAAAAATATATGATTAAATATTTAATTAGAAGGAAAAAATGAAGAAAAAATATGAAATAACAAAATTAATTAATATTAAAAGTAAAAGTTGAAAATATAATGATGAGTTAAATTAACAAAGAAAGAACAAAAAAAAAACAAGCACAATAAAAAGAAATAGAAAAAGAAAAAGAAAAAAGAGCTTTATTGTTTTAAATTAGTTTTTATAATTAAAAATATCACAATCCAAAACAAATAAACTGTTTTTACTTAAGTTCAAGTGTCAAATTTGAGAGATTAATGCACTTTGCTAAACCAGATCCTAAGTCTGATGCACCTTTGCCACCAATTTAATTGTGACTTTTTAAATATTGAAGAAAAAATATATGATTAAATAGTTAATTAGAAGGAAAAAATGAAGAAAAAATATGAAATAACAAAATTAATTAATATTAAAAGTAAAAGTTGAAATTAAAATGATGATTTAAATTAACAAAGAAAGAACAAAAAATAGCAAGCACATTAAAAAAAATAGAAAAAGAATAGTTTTTATAATTAAAAATGTCACAATCTAAAACAAATAAACAGTTTTTACTTAAGTTAAAGATTCAAATTTGAGAGATTAATGCACTTTGCTAAACCAGAACCTAAGCCTGATGCACCTTTGTCACCAATTTAATTGGAACTTTTTAAATATTGAAGAAAAAATATATGATTAAATAGTTAATTAGAAGGAAAAAATAAAGAAAAAATATGAAATAACAAAATTAATTCATATTAAAAGTAAAAGTTGAAAATATAATGATGAGTTAAATTAACAAAGAAAGAACAAAAAAAACAAATAGAAAAAGAAAAAGAAAAAGAAAAAAGAGCTTTATTGTTTTAAATTAGTTTTTATAATTAAAAATATCACAATCCAAAACAAATAAACTGTTTTTACTGAAGGTTAAGTGTCAAATTTGAGAGATTAATACACTTTGCTAAACCAGATCCTAAGCCTGATGCACCTTTGTCACCAATTAAATTGAAACTTTTTAAATATTGAAGAAAAAATATATGATTAAATAGTTAATTAGAAGGAAAAAATGAAGTAATAATATGAAACAACAAAATTAATTAATATTAAAAGTAAAAGTTGAAAATATAATGATGAGTTAAATTAACAAAGAAAGAACAAAAAAAAGCAAGCACAATAAAAAGAAAAAGAAAAAGAAAAAGAAAAAAGAGCTTTATAGTTTTAAATTAGTTTTTATAATTAAAAATATCACAATCCAAAACAAATAAACTGTTTTTACTGAAGATAAAGTGTCAAATTTGAGAGATTAATGCAATTTGCTAAACCAGAACCTAAGCCTGATGCACCTTCGTCACCAATTTTATTGTGACTTTTTAAATATTGAAGAAAAAATATATGATTAAATAGTTAATTAGAAGGAAAAAATGAAGAAAAAAATGAAATAACAAAATTAATTAATATTAAAAGTAAAAGTTGAAAATATAATGATGAGTTAAATTAACAAAGAAAGAACAAAAAAAAGCAAGCACAATAAAAAGAAATAGAAAAAGAAAAAGAAAAAAGAGCTTTATTGTTTTAAATTAGTTTTTATAATTAAAAATATCACAATCCAAAACAAATAAACAGTTTATACTCAAGGTTAAGTGTCAAATTTGAGAGATTAATGCAATTTGCTAAACCAGAACCTAAGCCTGATGCACCTTCGTCACCAATTTTATTGGAACTTTTTAAATATTGAAGAAAAAATATATGATTAAATATTTAATTAGAAGGAAAAAATGAAGAAAAAATATGAACTAACAAAATTAATTAATATTAAAAGTAAAAGTTGAAATTAAAATGATGAGTTAAATTAACAAAGAAAGAACAAAAAAAAGCAAGCACAATAAAAAGAAATAGAAAAAGAAAAAGAAAAAAGAGCTTTATTGTTTTAAATTAGTTTTTATAATTAAAAATATCACAATCCAAAACAAATAAACAGTGTTTACTTAAGGTTAAGTGTCAAATTTGAGAGATTAATGCACTTTGCTAAACCAGAACCTAAGCCTGATGCACCTTTGTCACCAATTTAATTGTGACTTTTTAAATATTGAAGAAAAAATATATAATTAAATAGTTAATTAGAAGGAAAAAATGAAGAAAAAATATGAAATAACAAAATTAATTAATATTAAAAGTAAAAGTTGAAAATATAATGATGAGTTAAATTAACAAAGAAAGAACAAAAAAAAGCAAGCACAATAAAAAGAAATAGAAAAAGAAAAAGAAAAAAGAGCTTTATTGTTTTAAATTAGTTTTTATAATTAAAAATATCACAATCCAAAACAAATAAACAGTTTTTACTTAAGTTAAAGATTCAAATTTGAGAGATTAATGCACTTTGCTAAACCAGAACCTAAGCCTGATGCACCTTTCTCACCAATTTAATTGTCACTTTTTAAATATTGAAGAAAAAATATATGATTAAATAGTTAATTAGAAGGAAAAAATGAAGAAAAAATATGAAATAACAAAATTAATTCATATTAAAAGTAAAAGTTGAAAATAAAATGATGAGTTAAATTAACAAAGAAAGAACAAAAAAAGCAAGCACAATAAAAAGAATTAGAAAAAGAAAAAGAAAAAAGAGCTTTATTGTTTAAATTAGTTTTTATAATTAAAAATATCATAATCCAAAACAAATAAAAAGTTTTTACTCAAGGTTAAGTGTCAAATTTGAGAGATTAATGCACTTTGCTAAACCAGAACCTAAGAGAGGTTAAAAAAGAAAAAAAAATTAATAAAATAAATAAAACTATTTTAAAATTCTTAAATAAAATTATATATATCTAACATAAATTAATATTTTTTAAGATTTATTCTGAGTGCATTTATATGTGCGAGTATTTCTATTCTATTCTTCTCACCAATTTAATTGGAACTTTTTAAATATTGAAGAAAAAATATATGATTAAATAGTTAATTAGAAGGAAAATATGAAGAAAAAATATGAACTAACAAAATTAATTAATATTAAAAGTAAAAGTTGAAAATATAATGATGAGTTAAATTAACAAAGAAAGAACAAAAAAAAGAAATAGAAAAAGAAAAAGAAAAAAGAGCTTTATTGTTTTAAATTAGTTTTTATAATTAAAAATATCACAATCCAAAACAAATAAACTGTTTTTACTGAAGATAAAGTGTCAAATTTGAGAGATTAATGCACTTTGCTAAACCAGAACCTAAGCCTGATGCACCTTTGCCACCAATTTAATTCCAACTTTTTAAATATTGAAGAAAAAATATATGATTAAATAGTTAATTAGAAGGAAAAAATGAAGAAAAAATATGAAATAACAAAATTAATTAATATTAAAAGTAAAAGTTGAAAATATAATGATGAGTTAAATTAACAAAGAAAGAACAAAAAAAAGAAATAGAAATAGAAAAAGAAAAAAGAGCTTTATAGTTTTAAATTAGTTTTTATAATTAAAAATATCACAATCCAAAACAAATAAACTGTTTTTACTGAAGATAAAGTGTCAAATTTGAGAGATTAATGCACTTTGCTAAACCAGAACCTAAGCCTGATGCACCTTCGTCACCAATTTAATTGGAACTTTTTAAATATTGAAGAAAAAATATATGATTAAATAGTTAATTAGAAGGAAAAAATGAAGAAAAATTATTAAATAACAAAATTAATTAATATTAAAAGTAAAAGTTGAAAATAAAATAATGAGTTAAATTAACAAAGAAAGAACAAAAAAAGCAAGCACAATAAAAAGAAATAGAAAAAGAAAAAGAAAAAAGAGCTTTATTGTTTTAAATTAGTTTTTATAATTAAAAATATCACAATCCAAAACAAATAAACAGTTTTTACTCAAGCTTAAGTGTCAAATTTGAGAGATTAATGCAATTTGCTAAACCAGAACCTAAAAGCCCTGATGCACCT